CCCCCGCCTCTCAACCAGAACACGAACCCGAATACTTCGCCGCCGCCACCCACCTCAGCGACGCCGAGCTCGCGGGCTTCAGCGCCGACGACTTCTGCCTGGTGCGCGCGGCGGCCTCGGCCTACGGGCACCACCTGTTCGGCAAGGTGCGCATCCCGGCGCTGCCCGACGAAGGGCCCGCGTACATCCACTTCCGGGCGTTCACGGCGGGGCCGGAGGATGAGGCCAAGTTGCATTGTATTCGTGCGTGTCCCTCCCTGATTTTGTGATTCTTGTGTGTTTGGGTGTGTGTGTGTGTTTGGATTGATTGGCTGACGGGTGGTGGGTTTTGTTGTTTTTTAGATACGGAGGATCTGAAGGGGGAGGGGGGAGGGCATACGTTCTGGGCGATTTTCACGAGGGATGATGAGTTGAAGTGGTTTGATACGTAGGGAAGGTAAGGCTTGGTTTGTCTTGGGTATGGGTGGCCGAATAGATGACGATTACTATTCATTATAAGACCCCACTGCTTGATGGTTCCTTTAACCATCCAAACCGTCTTCTGCCGCCAGCATCTCCGCGTAGTCATCGGCCGATGCGAATGTAGGCAGGCTCTTCATCTCCTTCCGGTTGAGCCTACCCTTCCGGCTTGGCTCGAGAAGGCTCAGCCGCGGCTTCTTCCTCCACCTCGTCCCCAGATTCGGCCTCATCCTCTTCCTCGCTCATGTCGGCTTCGTCCTCGGAGTCGTCAAATATACCCTCGAAACCATCCTCGCCTTCCGAGTCTGACATCTTGTCGTCAGCGTCAAGACCATCGACTTCCATCTCGTCGTCCGAGTAATCGAATTCGGCCACGTCCATGTCGGAATCTTCGTCGGCGTCCGCGCCCTCGATCTCCGGCTTAGAATTGACAAGCGCATCCCAGATCTCCTCCTCTCCCTCGGCTTCGTCGTCCGACCCAGCCTGGCCGTCCGCCGCCTTCTTGGCGCGGGAGGCTTCCCTAGGCTTGTTGACCCGGGCAAAGTACTCGTGGAAGAACACGTCCTCGGCAGAGACTTGGTCAAGCTTGAGATTCCAGAACGACGAAGAGTTGACGACCGGTTGCTGCCTGGCGTTGGCTTTGCTTGATGCCACAATGTGCGACGCGCCTCCAGAAGCGAGGATCGGCTGCATGATTGAGCCGCCACGCTTGGATTCCTCCGCCTTGGGGTTGCGGTAGACAAACTTGTCTAGGAAGTGCATCAAGGTGTGGTTGGCCAGGTCGGGCCGAGGCAGCGCCTTTTGTCGAGTGATTAGGTTCCCCGCAAATACGGACACCGAAGGATGGAAGTGGCTAAGGAAGGGTATCTGTACTCGGTCAGTCAACAGGTCTATCATCACCCTTCAGCCTAATCCAATAACGTACCAATTCCCAAAGGCAGCTACGGTGTGCGTTGCTGTGCTCGGGGTTGCGCTTTCGCCCGTCATAGGCCTCTGTACGTTGAGTGCCCGATTCAGTCGGGCCCTGTGAAGCACCCTCCTCCTCGGCGTCCTCCCGAACGTCGCGGTAAACTTCCTCCCCGTCGTCTTCGTTATCTTCCGGCTCATCCAACAAAGTGTGCAGGTCAGGGAACGTTGTTCGCAATTCGAAGATGAGGAACAGGATGCCACACGCAAAGGACGGCTGATGCAGGCTCAGCACCTGGATCAACCTCTTCACAAACGCCTTGACCCGGCGGACGTCGACATCGTTCTTCAAAGCCCGGAACAGGAGATTGAGGTACAGCGCATGTTTTGACGATGTGATGAGCCTGGGGTCCAGGAGTGACTCGTACAGGGTTCGGTAGAATCTGTCTACGGCGAGCTGTTTCGAGGTAGCGAGTTGCTGGATGAGCATCAACGCTTGCACGCTGGTGTTGAAATTAGATGAATGCGTGATCCTGAACAGCGTGTCCAGATGCTTCTCCAATGTCGAATCCTCGGCGGTAGCAAAAGGGATTGCCCGGTTGACACCGGTCAGCAAGGATGAAACAAGCTTCTGAGCCGTTTCCTGCTCGTTCATCGGAGTTGCCGGACTAGGCCCCCCCTTCTTCTTTGCCCTTTTCCGGGAGCGCCCTGTTTTTTTGTTGTCGTTGTGGGCCTCGACCTCGCCCAAGGAGCCAGTCTTCAACAGAGCGACAAACATCTCAAAGTAGATGCGCAGCAGCGTGTCAGCAACAGCCGGCTCCTTTGTGTTGAGGATTGTTTGATTGAGAGTAGTGATGGCGGTGTATTTTGTGCGGAGGCTCTGCCCAGGCTTCAGCAACAGTTCCTGTTCCACGGTGCCAATGACAATCGTTTTCATCCCTGGGTGCATGTTGAGCAGCTGTAGGATGAGATACGAAGCCCTTGAAGCGATCTTCCGTTCCCGATCGCCGAGCTTGTTCACCAGAAGCCGCAGCAGATTGGCCTCTTGCTCCGGCTTGCTCTTGAGCAATCCAAACACGAAATCGAGCGCTCTCGACCTCGAGTACTCGATCTCGTCGGCGCACCAGTTCTCCAGCAGCTGAATGATGCGGAAGTAGGCACCTTTGAGCCAGTCCTCGTACGCCCACATCATCAGATGGGGGGGCGTCAACTTTCCTGGAAGTTTGTGTCCTTCTGTCCAGGGCGGGCCGGGTTTCTCGTTTACAGCCCCAACCAGTGCGGGCTGAGCGTTGAAAGGATAGAGACGGCGGTTATCGGGAAGCACCGTCCCGTTCCCCAGCAAGTCGACCAGGGCTCCTAAAGCAGCAATCGCTTGACCACGGCTTCTTTTTCCTGCCAAAGTTATCAAGCTCTCAAACCCCTTTCGGTTGTGGAGTGGCGACTCCTGAATTGAAAGAGTCAAGGCTGAGACCTTGTCCGACAGGGTACCGGACGACATGATCGTGGACATGAACTTCTGCGTCGAGCTGGATGACCGTTTCGAGTGGTAAGCGGACGAATCTTCTTCCAACAACTTCTCCGCGTATGCCTTCAGGTTCGAAATGGAAGCCGGATGCGGTTTGCTATCGCTTGCCCCCCCTGAAGATAGACCGTCGAGAGAGAGTCCATGCCAGTCAGAGCGAGGTTCGAATATCTATGCCACATTAGACGCGATCCGCGGCTCTAGCAGTGTTGGACGGTGCGAAACTGCTTACTCACCAACTTCCCAGCCTGCTTTCCTTGCCGGGATTCCTGCGGCTGTGTCACGGTCTTGGTGATCTCCTTCTCCACAACCTCCTTCTTCTCCTCCTCCTCTTCCTCCTCCTCGTCGTCGTCGTCGTCATCGTCGTCGCTCTCGCTGCTGGGCTCTTCTTCCTCAGCGCCATCTTCCTCTCCAGTGGCCTCCAACTCTTCATCAGTCGCCGGATCCTCAGCCTGGAATTTGCTGAAGCCAAGGGTGGATGCAAATTGAGCCAGCTCGTCCCTTAAAGATTTGTCCAGACCCGGTTCTGACAAGACTTTAGGGCGAGGGGCATCGCCGCCTTCATCGCCAGAATCAACATTGGCTACCAGCTCCAGGTCGTCTTCATTCCCTCCCAACGCCAAAATCTCGTCTAAAAGAGCATTTGTCTGCTTCTTTTGCTTCCCGCCACTGATATCCCCCTGCGGTTTGGAATCGGAAGGATCGGTCTGGTGTCTCTTGGGCTCATGCCCCTCGTCGGTTTCGCGCTGTCTCTTTCGCTTCGGAGGACGCTCCTTCTCGGAATTGGCGAGGGACTTGTCGATTTGGCTGGTCAGCTGAGCGAGCGCCGTCTTGTCGAAGCTCGGCTTGTCGGCATTTTTCTTCTCTTTTGTCCGTTTGACACCCATTGCGACAATTGCGGCTGCTGCTGCTGCCGGTTGTTTTCTAGGACTGTCAAAAGAGCAAAGAAAAAAAAAGTTTAAAAAAGTCGAGACCCCTGCAGCTAGGTGGGGGCCCACCCTCGTGCTAACGCAGCGTTAAACTCAAACTCGGCCCCACTGATGGTTCAAAAGTCCGGGCTCATCAAGAAACAACAAATTCATTCACATTTTCGGTACTCCATGTTTCTGGCGGACACATCGACCTGTTAGCTGCACCTTTAAGAGTGTGCATGTCTGGGTAGTTGAGCCTTGTAGCTTGAGGCTTGGAATATGATTCCGCCAGCAGTGGCCCGCCTCTCGAGGGTGTGGTTTCCAAGCGGCGGAATCGCAGCCTCGGGAGTTGAAGATGCTCACGCAAAGCTGATCCGCGCCGGCTTCCTACGTCAATCAAATGCAGGCATGTTCCATATGCTCCCGCTAGGGAATCGGGTACAGGACAAGGTAGAGCGGCTAGTTGCGAGCCGCATGGAGGAGCTGCTGGGTGAGTCCTCAGCGCTCCCCATCCGATGATACCCCGTAGAACCCCTGGCTTACACGTTCCTCATGCTATGGGTGAAAGCTGCCTCTAGGGTTTCACTATCTTCCATATCGGCAGAATCTCTGTGGGAAAAGAGTGGTCGCTTGGACAACGTTGCGTCCGAGGTTCGTGCCCAAGTTCACATGTTCCTTGCGATGTTGTATCATAAGTCGGTGATGCTGAGTATGGTTGGTTTGCATAGCTCTTTCGTTTTTCTGACCGCAGGGACGTGCCTTATCTGCTCGCCCCGACGCATGAGGAGGAAATTACCACTCTCGCGGCCCGGTCGGTGAAGTCCTACAAGGAGCTTCCGCTCCGGCTGTACCAGATCACGCGCAAGTACCGTGATGAATTCCGTCCACGCCACGGTCTCCTACGTGGGAGAGAGTTCATCATGAAGGACTTGTACACCTTCGACAGCAGTGTCGATTCAGCCCTCGAAACGTATAACGACGTACGTGCGGCCTACAACCAAATATTTTCCGATATGAAACTGCCCGTCTTATCCGCCAAAGCCAGCTCTGGTGATATGGGAGGCGACCTGAGCCACGAATATCACCTCCCCACTCCGCTTGGGGAGGACCGCGTCATCAGCTGCAGCAGCTGTAACTATGTAGTCAACGAGGAGGTAGCCAACACGGCCATATCCGACGAGGTCGCCACCGATAGCCCCTTCGAGATCTGGCGGGGCATCACCAAGGACCGGACCAAGCTTGTCAATGTCTGGTACCCCAAGTGGACCCGACCGTTGGACGGCGGAGAAGCGCGCGAGTACACCGATCAAGACATCAACCTGTCCGAGGTGAAATACATTGTGCCCGACCTCGACACAGCGGTCGAGGACGCCCTCCCCTTCTGGTCGGCCGCGGTAGCCGCCGAGACAAGAACAGCAACCGAGATCATCAACGTCGTCGACGGCCGTCTCCCCTCCTCACTAGCCAGCAGCCTCAGCGGCCCTACACCAACCCATTCCAGCTGGCCCTCAACCCTGAACCCCCCAACAACCCCACTCCGCAACTCCCCTCCTCTCCAAAGTAACGGCAACTCCTCCCTCAACCTCCTCCGCCTCCGCACGGGCGACAAATGCAACCAGTGCTCCTCCGGCCACCTCCAAGTGTCGCGAGCCATGGAGCTCGGCCACACCTTCTTCCTCGGCACGCGGTACTCGCAACCGCTCCACGCAATGGCGACCATCCCCCCCGCCACCCAACCGACGCCCTTGCAGATGGGGTGCTACGGGATCGGAATCTCGCGCATCATCGGGGCGGCGGCGGAGCACCTGGCCGACCAGACGGGCCTGAACTGGCCGGCGGCGATCGCGCCGTACTCGTGCGTCGTCATCCCTGGGAAGGACGCCGATGAGGGTGATGCGGTGCAGGTGTATCAGCAGATTGAGGGGATTGTGGGACCGGAGAGGCGGTTGGTGGATGTGGTGCTGGATGATCGGGCGAAGTCGTTGCCGTGGAAGATGGCGGATGCGGATCTGATTGGGTTTCCGGTCATTGTGTTGCTGGGGAGGGAGTGGCGCGCCGCGCGGAGAGTGGAGGTGCAGTGCCGCAGGCTGGGGGTGAAGCAGGCGGTGGAGATCGCGGACTTGCCGGTGGTGGTGGCAAAGCTGCATGCGTCTCTGTGAGGAATCGATGGTGGGAGAACTGGTGGGTTGTATGATTCGCTATGTATCACATCACTAGAGGAGTCGGTGCGGCTGAACTCCTACAATGTATTAAAGGTCTAGATAAACTACAAGCTCTCCTTTAAGATCTACTAGCTGTAAGTGAGACTCAAGATTACGTCCTAGATACTAATACATGAAAGACGTTATTTAGGGGCCACCCGATTTGTCGTTACCCAGTCCAGCAGTGGCGCGGCCCTGTACCAGAAGTGCCCTGCGCCGACATAGCGCCCGACTCAATATCTCGTGCCTGGACGGCGAAACGTAACTGCCGTTTCATATAGGGAGGTAGTCGAGGTCGAGCTGGTTGCCACTTCCAATCGGTATATAATGAACAAGTAAGGGGGATTTATGCCGCCGTCAGCGGTTTATTTCCCTACCCTAAATGACAATATCTTCCCAAAGTTAGCAATAACCTTAAATGCCACACAGCGCGCCTTGAGACTCACATCGTTTTTCCCTACCGCCACTATTTGGTCGTCGGCGACCCGGGTCCCACCAACACCCTCGATGTACGCAATAGGGGCATCCCCCATGATCTTTCTAGCCACGTCTGCCACCGTTGAACCCTTCTTCACTAGAACGCAATCCCTGAACACCTGCTTCGACTCGCCGGACCCGGATCCAAACGTCCCGGTATTCCTGACAGGATACACCGGTACCAGCCCTAATATCTCGGCCGCTTTGGACAACACCTGGACTACCCCTGTAGATCCGAACCTGTAGAGTACCATATCTTTGAGGTTCTCTATCCTATTCCGGTTCTTCTCGTCCAGCTCTTTTAAGCCCCCGCCGTCCGGGTCGCCGTCTGCTATTAGGTCTTCCCTCGTGTCGACGAACTCGCTGCCTTCTGTGTACTTGATATACCCCTGCTTAGCTAGCTTCCGGAGGAAGATTTCTGATACCGCTGAGCAGAGCACAATCGTGTTGGGGTCCTGCATCTTTGCGATCTTGGCGATGTTTTTGTCGGCGTCGGGGTGGTCGATCTTGTTGAGCGCAATGACCGTCGGGAACTTTTCGTCGGTAAATGCGTTAACCACTCGATCAATCGTTTCGTCTGAAAACAGAAATCGCGTGTCAGTTCACACACCCTTCCCCCGAGAGGGTCAGTAAGGGAACGCACTGCTCCACTCCTCCAACGGCTCCTTCAGCCCCAGCTTATCCAGCGTGCGCGCCACCACCGACGACGTACTCCCGTACCCGCTGAACTGGTTCTGCAGCGTCTCGACGGCGGTAGCCTTGACGGCAATATGGCGCCTCTTGATGGACCCCCACTTCTCCATCAAGTTGCCCCTGATCCAGGCGACGATCTCGCTCCGCAGCCACGCGATGTCGACGCTAGGGTCGTAGCCGCGCGTATTCTTGCCCTCGGCGTCGGTGGTGCCGGACACGTCGACGACGTGGATCAGCGCGTCGGCGTGCCGCAGGTCGTCCAGAAACTTGTTGCCCAGCCCCTTGCCCTGGTGCGCCCCGGGCACCAAGCCCGCCACGTCCAGCAGCTCGATCGGCACGCTGCGCCGCCCGTCCACGCACGCCCCGTAGTTGGGCCGGCACCGGTCCGATACGCCGTGCCGCGCGCACGCGCAGTCGATCTGGAGGTAGCCGATGGCGCGTTGCGGGTCGATGGTGGTGAATCTGTTGGAGGGGGGAGGAGGGTGAAGGGTTAGCGATTGAGAGTATGAGGGGGGGTGGGTAGGCCGGGAATGGTGTGGGTCGTGGCGTACGGGAAGTTTCCTGCGCAGGAGCCCATATCAGCAACCTAGAGGTCCTCGAATCGATATGGACCGCGCTTCAGGGGCACGTAGAAGATGGCTTGGTTCTACCCACCGACTTTGGAAGAGGCATCTGTGAGCGAGTTGAGCGTGCTCGATTTGCCCGCGCTGGGCTTGCCAACTAGACCAATCAAAGGATCGCGAGGCATCTTGGTGAGAATCTATTTGCAATGACTTAGAGAGTGTAGGTCAAAAGGGCGCATTCAGAAAGAAGGAAGATGGCCGCAATCGCCCGGTTCGAAAATATGTGCCCCGCCTCCGATAAGAGGTTGAAAGTCGGTGATAAGGAATGTAGGAGGGGCAAGTCAAGCTGCTACCTTTCAACAAGACCTCGATTCTACAGACAAACCAGAAGGACTTAGAGAGCCAAGGTCTGTGATATTTCCGTCAATTGAACCTCAATTTATTGTGTATATAATTGATGTTACTGGATGTAATCTTTGCAAGATTGTAGGCTGAACGGTCCGTCTCGTCACCAGCACCTCCGGCTTTTATCTGTGTTGGTGGCGCATATCTCAAATGCATATGCAGTCTCCATCTGAGCACTTTGGATGACTGCCCAAGAGCTAAGGTCGGGTACGCGCCTTCGTACTCAATTCGAACAATAACCTATTGTATCCCACTTTATTCAACTCCCTAGGTTCTTATGTATCGGCCAACACTATCAATTCAGAGCCTCCCGGCTTGGGCTCACCTCAACGATGTCTCATTCCACAATATCAAGGTCATCAATACTGAGGATAAGGGGTATGGTGTCGTCAGCGATGAAGACCTAAAAGCTACGAGTCAGGCAAACGATACCTCAGCTTTAATTACCGTGCCACACGGGCTGGTCTTGAACGCCGCGGCTGTGGAGGAGTACGCTAAGGAGGATAAAGGCTTCAGACTGCTCCTCGATGCTATCGGCCATCGCGTAACAAACCCCAAAGCCGTCCCCACTGGCGAGCCGATACTAACACACATCTAGTCTACACGTGCCGATGTGCTACTGTTCCTCCTCGTCCAAATGGTGCTTGGTTCCCGACCTAGCCATGCCAACGTCGGGTTATCAAACCCTTGGACCGAGTATCTTAAGTTCCTACCAGAGACGGTCCTGGTACCTACGCTATGGACCGAGGATGAGAGGCTATTACTCCGAGGCACCTCTCTTGAAGCTGCCGTCGATGCCAAGATATCAGCCCTCGATGCCGAGTTTGACCTCGTCAGGGAGAAGTCTTCTGACATCATCGCCTGGAACGACCTGCTCTGGATGGAGGGCGTCCCGGTCTCGTTTACGGATTGGATCCGCCTCGACGCGCTGTACCGCTCCCGATGCTTGGAGCTGCCGACATCCGGCGAGTCCATGGTCCCCTGCATCGACATGATCAACCACTCGGCGACCCCCTCTGCTTATTACGACGAGAACACTAAGGACGAGGTGGTCCTCCTCCCCCGGCCTGGAGTCGGCATTTCAAAGGACGACGAAATTACCATCAGCTACGGGGACGCCAAGTCCGCCGCAGAGATGCTCTTCAGCTACGGCTTCATCGACCCGGCCTCGTCAGCTGAGAGCCTAGTCCTGCCCCTGAACCCATTCCCTGACGACCCGCTTGCCAAGGCGAAGCTTGTCGCCTTCGGCGAGGCGCCCAAAATCCACGTGGCACGGCAGGGGAGGGACAAAGCAAAAGAAGCAGAGGAAGAAGGCGGCAACAGCAACTCCGCGAAAGGCCCCGTCGGGTGGACGAGCCCCTTCGCGCACCTGATGTGCGTCAACGAGGAGGATGGTCTCGAGTTCCGCGTGCTGCAGCAGACGGACGGGGCGCGGCAGCTGCGCGTGTTCTGGCAGGAGGAGGATGTCACGGATCGGACGGGCGATTTCGAGGCGCTAGTCCGGACACACCCGCTCGCCGCCGTGCTGAGGCTGCGGGTGGTGACCGTCGTCCAGGGGGCCCTGCAGGCGCAACTCGAGCGGTTGGTGTCGAGCACCGTTCCTGATGCGGCCGTTGCTGCTGCTGCTACTGGTGGTGCTGCTGATCCCGCTGTCCAGCAGCGGAGGGAGGATTGCGTCAGGACGGCGACGGTCCTGCGCGAGATCGAGACGAAGATTCTCGAAGACGCGATCGAAGGTCTCGAGGGCGAGGTGAGTACCACACAAACGCATCGTTTGGTTGCGGAGCACCACGAGGATCTGCATGAGATACACGAGACACCATACAAATCGGGTTTAGAGCGCTAACGAGGGTTGTGCTGCAGAAAAATGCGCTGCTGGCTGACGAAAACGTGGTGGCTTATCTCGGACTGACGGAAGCTACCGAATCGGGCCTGGCGGGCGACGAGGCGTCCAATGAGCCCGACGATTTCAGTTGATGGCTGCCAGCGGGTGAGACAGGTGAGACAAGTTTGCGCTGCCTCGATCTCGCCTCTCGAGCATCATCATACGGCTCGGGGGCGAGATGAGACCATGGCAAATGGCGGACGGCGAGGAAGGAATGGAAGTTAACTATACAGAGTTAGAAGTTGGCTTGGCTTTCGGATGCCTTCCTGCATCTTTCAAGGCTGTCTCGCCGGCAGTTAGTTACTCGCAGGACAAGCCTGGTTAGGTATTCGTCAAGTATATGCATATTTCGTGTTGAATACCGTTATTTTTTCAGGACGAGTTCCGGTGATGGTATAACTGGGGTTTGGCTGGAATATCGGGCTCCATGATGCTCATTAACAGTCCTTGTGTTCCTCGAGATATTGCAAACAATATCCATTGCCCGCGATTGATGAGATGGGACCCATTTTGCCGGAGCTCACCTCTCGAAGTGCTTGGGTTGCTTGGCTCGTTGGTCACCTCTCCACTCCCGCCGCTTTACCAAGAATGCGGGGAAGTTGGGGTCTCCCGAACCGGAACCTGAAAACTATGAGTCGATGTTCATGCACCCCAGAGATGCAACTCTCCTTGCGATGGGAAAAGTCGGGACGAAGAACCAAGCAGCCAACTGCGTGGGTTCATCACGCAGAACGATATCCGCGGCATCAATGGGAGTTGGAAACACTCCTGACCGCTCCTCCAGGGCCAGCCCTCACTTCTTGACCAGGATGTGATGCTCGGCAGCTGGGGCCACAGGTCTTTTTGACATAAACTTGGTGGCCGCCAGGATGAGTGGGTTTGGTTTGGTTTCAACATGAGAAACTCCCCGAATCATAAAACATGGATAGGGGGCATGTTCAGCTTTATTACTTGTTGATATGAATACGCGCGGCAACAAGGAAAGGTAAGGGTACCACTCTGAAGAGGTTGTTACCCAGCAGGCTTCGGCTTCTGGTTTCGGATCATCCTCGTTGCTCGTTTGGTTGCAACTGTACTTGATGTAAAATAGTAGGTGCAGTCCCGCTGCACAGCACCTGAACATTGCCAAGTCGTTCCGGCATATGCCTCTTCCAAATTCTGGGAGACTGGCAAGACTGGATACCAGCCAGAGGGATCGTCGTGGCGTACCATGGATTGGGCGCCTTTTTTTGGACTGTCAATCCTGGGCTGACGGCAAGCGTAGCATCAACTGTCAAGACTTTCGTTGAGACTCTGGGCTCCATGATGCAATATTTTCCCGATTCTTTTCTAACTGGCGCATGGCATGGCCGAGAAATGGTTTTTGGTGTCGGTGCAAAAGGCGGGGCTAACAATGTGTCCGGAGCTGGGGGCCGAAGGTACTTCTAATCTGCGAAATATACAGTTTGCGCAAGCACCCACCGGCGTCGCCACGGCGTTACTAGTTAGTGGCGGAGGATGACCGTACAGCGTGTTGTTTTAAAGGCATCTTCTCGATGTTTCGGCGTTCACATGCGGCATGTGGCGAGATGAAACGGAGGCAGCTGGAGGGAAAAAGACTGCCCAAGAGGAAGTGGCTGCCAGACTGCCAATGCGAGACCCCTGCTCTCCCCAGATTCCCCTTGCCATGACCCGATGGGGGGAGTCGGGCTTGACAGGGTTGGTCATTCACGACGTCAGCCAATGGTGCCATGGACACCCCCACAATAACCAAGACTTCCAGGTTACCCCTGCTTCAATTGCCAATCTCCCTCCACATCTTCTCTGCAGGCTCCGCGTGGGCCGGCGCTGTAAGAGCCTGCCATTGTGCTGGGGGTTGTCAGTCATTTTTCCCTCATTCCCTGCAGGTGCCTGCCAACCATTAAAACCCACTGGCCCCGCCCTCCAAGTCACTCACCTTCACGTTGTTGGGATTTATTTCTGTTTCTCGAAATTGATAATTTGTCCCACGCTACAAAATTGCCGTTCCATACATGGTTGACGCTTCCGTTGCGAATTTCCAGGGGCGTAAGCACCACTGAGGCTGGTTGCTGCGATTCTCATCACTTCGCCGTCCGATTTGCGTCCACGTTTCGACAACGACGCCAGCCAGCCCAGGTTTCTTCTGTACTATTCGTACTACATCCGACCTTCAGTCCAGACGACATCCGAACTTGCGAATGCAATAAACTTAACGGAGGAAAGGCGATAAAAATAACCGCCAAAATGCCAGGAATTCTTCCCATGAAAGTCATCAAGGTGGGCACCAGCTCGCAAAGTCGCATTGCGCAGGCTTGCGACAGGTGCCGCAGCAAGAAGATTCGTTGCGATGGGATCCGCCCGACTTGCTCGCAGTGCGCCAATGTCGGTTTCGAGTGCCGCACCAGCGACAAACTCAGTCGCCGAGCTTTCCCGAGGGGCTACACTGAATCGTTGGAGGAGCGCGTGCGGGCGTTGGAGGCTGAAGTCCGGGAACTGAAGGACTTGTTGGATGAGAAGGACGAGAAGATCGACATGCTATCGAGGATGCACGGCAATCGACGGGTGCAGAGCGAGCAATGCCAAAACCAACCGGCTGCCGACGCAAAGAAGGATTCTGGACCACAGGCGAAGGAGGATACATTCCGAGTCCAAGCCTCGCCGCTGCTGCTGGGTGTTGAGAACTCGGACTCTTACTTTATGGGCGCTTCTAGCGGCCGCGGATTCATTGGTTCGTCGAGTCTCTTTTCCTACCTATCCAGAGGAAACTGCTAACCAACGATGCTCAGAATCCCTCAAGCGAAAGATGCAGGAGAGTGGCAAATCTTGCTCCGACTTCAATCCAGAGGCTTTCCTGCACATCCAGGGGTGTTACCCTCTCACAGCGAAGCCGTCCGGCCAGACGATGAGGATACCGCCACGCTTGTTCTCAGACAGATGCGTCAATGTCTACTTTCAGGAGTGGGCGCCTTTGTTCCCCGTCCTTCACAAACCCACCTTCCTTCGCGTTTACGAGGAATTTGTTGCGGATCCGGAGAAGGTCAAGAACAACCATAAGCTCGCACAGCTCCATTTGGTCTTCGGCATCGCGGCTCTGTCCGGCGAGCAGCCCGATCTCGACCAGATCGCCGCCTGCGAACAACAATGGCAAAGATCCTTGGAGGCGGTCCTCATGGACAACACCATGGTGACGCTGCAATGTCTGTTGCTCGCCCTTGTATACTGCACCATCAGGGCCGACTATAAGAGGTTGCAGCATTACAAGGGTATTGCTGTTGGCTTATCGCTCCGGCTTGGCCTGCACCAGAGTCAAAAACGATTTTCTTTCGGCGTGCTCACCATTGAAACCCGGAAGAAGGTCTTCTGGACCCTTTACACCCTCGATTGTTTCTCTGCTGCTATCCTGGGTCTGCCCAAGCTCCTAAAAGAAGAAGATGTGCACACTGAATTTCCCTCGGATACCGACGACGAGTACGTCACCGAAAAAGGATTCCAGCCGAGCCTTCCGGGCGAGGCGACTCGGCTGTCCAACGCCCTGGCTCTGTTCAGAGGAGCCCAGATCTTGGGCAAGGTTTTGGAGAAAATCTATCCCTCTGCAACCTCTCACGAACTCTCGCTCCAGCAACTGTCTGCCCTTGGGGCGGAACTCGACGAGTGGTATGAGAAGTTACCTCCTCACCTCAAACTCACCTTCAAGCAAGACAAGCCATCGACCGACATTACCGGCAGCCGGTCACCAATCCTGGTAAGTGGTGGACCATTGTGGTCTATGACCCCACACCACTAACATAGCTCTAGGCTCTTGCATACTACTACACTCGTACTCTTATCTACCGGCCCGCTGTCGCGTCTAGCCTGGGGCCGAAGGCGGCTTCTGCGCATATTGCGATTAGCGAGTCGAGCAAGCGCATCATCCAGATCATCCAACTACTCGAGGAACGGAGCATGTCATTTTCGTTCTGCCTCAACAAGGCGGACACGCTTGTTCTCTGCGGCATGGTTCTGCTCTACCAAACGCTGGACCTCAAGCAGGACAGCAAGATGTTGCAAGACAATGAGAGGCTTGTGAATGACGTGATCAAGGCCGCCGACAAGGCCAAGGCGCCTGGTTGCTATGATCTCAAGAGAATCGCAGCAATGCTGGTTGCCGTCGATGAGCCCGAACCGCAATCGCTACCCACGCCCCCTAGACAGAGCCCGGATGCCTGTCTCGCTGCTCCCCCAACGCAACGGGCTACGACCAACGCCGGTCACAAAACACACACGGCATTTGGGCGCCACCTGGCTGCCAGCATGAGCGAAACCGACCTCCTATTACAGCAAGAAAAGCTCCGCAGGATGACCATGCCGCATCCGCACCACCGAGCGGAGCAGTTAGCCCCGCGTTCAAGAGGATCTTTCGACAGCCCGCGGCCGACCGCCCCTCTCTCGCAACGCGACCACCGATTATCCCTCAGCCAAGCCCACGTCGCACAAGCAGCAATGCTCCGCCTATCAACCTCGCCAAACCCAAAACACCACACGATGGACTACCTTCACCTCGATTCCCACTCTCAGCCGCCCTCTTCTCCCGCCCAGACCCGCGGCGGCCCCCACCTTTCAACAATCCAAACACACCAAGCCCAGCTCTACTCACAGCTCCAGAAGGGATCCGACGTCTCGACCGCCGAGTGGGAGGCTTTGCTCGGCTCTATCGAGGGCGGGCAGCACAACTTGTACGACGCGATCTACGGCGGCCCGGGACTATCGCTGACGGAGACGCCTACATCAGCAACGACGAACCATACCACAACGACGTGGTCGCCCGACTCGTGGGACCTATCACAGTTCAACCTGAGCGAATTTGGGCCTGGCGCGGACGCGGGTGCGGGCTCGTCGCACAGCCTGAGTGAGGACAGCTTGAGCTCAAGTGATGACTTGGTCAGTGTGGAGAGTGCGATGGATTATCGGGGCGGCATGATGCCCGTCACGACGGCGGATGGGTTTGTCCTGGATGGGTTGGATGGCTTTAGGCTTTAGAGTTTGAGATACGGGTTCGGTTTAGGGCTTTACGACAACTGGTGTTTGGTTTCTTGTTGGGGGTTTTGGATGGGAAGGGAAAGCTGGCTGATGCTACATTTGGTTGCGGCAATTGGTGTTTTCGTTTCTCAATATCTATTGCTGGCGTCTGAGGGACGGTTTGTTAACCTATACCTACTCGTTGGGTACGGCGTGGAGCGTCGAGAGGTTGGGTCTTGGTACGTTTTTTTATGCGATGGGGGTCTCTTAACACGGCGGGGGTTTAGTTTCTGGTACTTGGTTTCTGGGACGATCTACTTAGATATCAACAACCGGTCTACCGCTGGCTTTTGGAATAT